AATAAACAAAACTCGCCAAAATTTTGACTTTTGATTAAAGCTCGAGAACAGAAATTATTTTTGTGAGGATTTTAATAGTACCACCTGTCAAACTTTATGTTTTAGAAATTTTTCCTTATTTGTTATTATTCATCAACGCTATTTATTTATTCATCAAAATAAACAGTTTAGACAAAAAAACCTATGATTCCATACTTTCTTCTAAAATTTTTATTATAAAAGTTAGTGAGTAAAATTTAATTTTGAAAAAAGAACACGATTAACGAAATTTCTATGACCAAAAATAAACAAAACTCACCAAAATTTTGACTTTTGATTAAAGCTCTAGTGTGGGGATTTTAACAGTACCACCGGTCAAACTTTACATTTTAGAAAATTTTCCTTATTTGTTATTCATTAACGCTATTTATTTATTCATCGTACTTTCTAATTCATCAATTAAGTTTTTTCAAAAACTAAACAATGTAAACAAAAAAGCTTTGGTTCCATAGTTTTTTCTAAAAAAAACTTTAGAAAAGTCAGTAAGTAAAATTTAATTTTGGAAAAAAACATGATTAACGAAATTTCTATGACCAAAAATATACAAAACTCTCCAAAATTTTGACTTTTGATTAAAGCTCTAGAACAGAAATTATTTTTGTGAAAATTTTAATAGTACCACCTGTCAAACTTTATATATTAGAATTTTACTTATTTCTTATTCATCAACGCTATTTATTAGTTGAGTTATTTTATTATTGTTCATTGCAAAAACTGGGAAATTCCTGACTAAAAAAAGAGAAAATCATTACTCATTTTGTGACGTGACTGATTATTATCAATATTGCTTTAAAACTGACAGTGATGTAAATCAACGATTTTTTTTAAATACGAGAACTTTTATACGAAAAAAAAAATCAAAACCGACGTTTCGTTAAAAAAAATAACAATTTGTAGAGGTTAAAATAAACTTCTAGTAACCGACAGGAAAGAATAAAAAAGTAAAATAAATGAAAACATTCCGAAACTGTCACAATATGACATCTTTTATCATTTCTTATTATACAATTTGTCCCACATTTAAAAGAAAAAAAATTCTGACAATTAACAGAAAATTCTTAAGTAATTCGTAAGCTGACAAAACAATTAGAAGTTTCTAAAATAATTAATTATAAAATATACGTAAATGTTTATGCAACACAAACAAAAACACTATTGCATTCCAAGGACTCAATATAAATGGCAACAGAGCCAATTTTGGAACTATTGACTTCGTCAACTAAATGAAACAATTTTTATTTTTCCAATAAATAATTACTCAAAGTCCAAATTCAAATGGTAAAAAGGTGAAAGTGGTTCTATTTTTAGACATTCGTAGCCCTTTCAAGCGCCTAATAAACAAATTTCCAATTAAAATTCCACTCGCAATGCAACAAGTAAACCATAAAATCAATCATATAGCATTTGGTGAAATTTGATTTTTTCCGGTTGGCAAAACGTCGCGACTCCTTCCTCATTTAACTCGATACGGCAACATCGCATCCGAAGGGTAAAGTAGAGAGGGCGGGGTAACGGATCAATACAACATGGCAATTGAGCCGGCCGTCTGACAGACACCGCACGTGCGTGAATGCCTCCTGCGTGACTAGTTGCGTGCGTATTTTGCACGCAAAATGCAATGAGAAACAAAGATTGCACTTTTTAATGCCCTAGCGACACTTACTCTGATGGCATTTTTGAGTGTCTCAGCTTCTTGTCTCAAGGAATCCAATTCGTTCATACTGCCCAACACTCTCTATGGCACAACGAACGCCTGAAAAACAACACCAATTATTACCAAAAGCGACAAAATGGGGCCAGGTGTGCCAACACAATTTTCAAGTGAAGGGGAAATACCCAACACTAGCCAATTTTAAGAGAGAAGATTCCTGTAATTTGGCCAAATTTGGATTTGCCATAACCTGAAACCCTGTCGGAAGCACAAAGTGGTTATAAATGATTTTCATCTAGCCGCTTTACGAAAAAAGGGGTACGTACTTGTTTTAACTCAAAATTAAAAAATATAAACTTGTTTTCTTCCAAAGTATACATTATTATCAATTATTATTGGAAATTAGTTGAAATAATAAAAGTTTAATTAATAAGTGACACTAATGACAGAACTAGAGCTTTCAAAAAAGTAGAGCGGCACAAATAAAGTTACATGCAAAAAATTCCAAATCTGGCTAGATGAAAATCATTTATAACCACTCTGTACATCACCGGAAGTGGGGACCATCCTGATTTTTATCACTCGCGTCATAAATAAATTAAAATCGCGTCAACGTCACACTATTTGCGTCCATTTAGTGTTAAAAATCAAATTTCCCGCCATTGTTTAAAATTAGAATTTTGTTTTTTGGACACACCTACGCCCTTAAACCAATTTATAAACATTAGTCTAGGTCGCGGGTCGGGTCGGGGGGTTGTCGGGGGCGGCTGTGCGGCTTGGTGTCCGCCACATTGGCGAAATTTCTCCCTTTTTGGGGTTTTTTTCAGCACGAGAATAAAAATAAATTGACAGCCGCCATGACAGTCGCTGCACCTGCTCGAACGTTCATTTGTCTTGGCGTTTCCAGGCACACTTTAAGGGGGCTGTGTGTCGGGGGCGACTTACTTTTCCAATCGGCTTTGTCTATCCCAATCCCCACTATCGACTATACTATCCTATGGTGCTTCTCACAAAATCACGAATACATCCGCTTACACCCATACAAATTCACTCGTCCACTAATTATGAACATGTGAGATTATTTTATTCACCGTACATACGATTAACGACACTTTCGCGCACCGTTTTCACACCTACAATGTTTTTATTACGCGATTTTTCCTCTCGTTTTCCTACTTGGGTGCGGTGCGAGAATCGCCGGTGCCCTTGCGGTAACGATTCCAGTCCCCGATTCGTGACGTCAGAACTGCCATTTCTGCGACGACAGCGACATCTACCGGTTGAGGAAGATCGGGTTTGGCGACAAGCTAAATTGTTGTTCCTGAATTAAAAAAGTACCTCACACACACAGTAACAGAGTTTTTATCTCATTTTGTGTATTTTTGTGTAATGGATTGCAAACTTTAATAGTTTTTATTTTCTTATGAGAAAACGCATTATTTCAATTGCATGAAAAAAATACAGTAACGGAAGTAGGTAATCTACAATACGCCAAAAATAAATCAAAAAATTCTCCTGTACAGTTTTTTTATAAAAAAATAAAATGGCCAAAAATAGAAGTTTTTTTTAATTTATTTTTAAACGGCACGGACAAAAAATTTCAAATTTATATACAGGTGCGCCAGAACTCCCCCAGAGAAAAATTTCAAGTAAGATAAGATACCAGAAACATGGAAAAAATTTTTAAAAAATTCTATCTGTCAAAAAATTTTGACATTTGACATTATTTTATGTCTATTTAATGATTCTGATGATCTTGTATATGTTTTTTTATAATTATTTAGTAAAAGTACAAAAATTTTACCAATAAAAGCTACAAATAACATTAAACAGAGTTAGAATTTAGAATACAGCTTCATTGTTTCCTCTTATAATAGCCTATAGCAAAAACACTTGAAAAATTATTTTTCCTACAGAAATAAATAGAGTCAAAGTGCAAAATATAAACTCTCATAAATTCAAAATTTTTATTTTCCATCTTCCAGGTATCTTACCTTATATGGCATTTTTCTCTGGGGCGCGAGTTGTGGCGCAGCCTGTATATTGCTGCTAAAGCTATCAAAAAGTTATGATGTTTTTTTCAGATTACAACCTTCCTGAGAAAAATGGTTTTATAGTGAACTGCCATTAAAAAAAAAAATTTGTAACTCAAAAACAAAAGGAAATTTTGAAAAATTTTATTCTTGATAGAACGTCACATTTTTATACAAAGTGGTTATAAATGATTTTCATCTAGCCAACTGTGAATTTTCCATGTAAAATAAAAAATGCCGCTTTACGAAAATATGGGTACCTACTTGTTCCAACTCAAAATTAAAAAAATCGCCGTTTACTAAGCCTCCACTTCAAAAATAGACTTCAATTATAAACTTGTTTTCTTCCAAAGTATACATTATTATCAATTATTATTGGAAATTAGTTAAAACAATAAACGTTTAATTAACAACAATGTATTATTAATTAATAAGTGACACTAATGACAGAACTAGAGCTTTCAAAAAAAGTAGAGCGGCACAAATAAAGTTACATGCAAAAAAAATCCTGGCTAGATGAAAATCATTTATAACCACTTTGTAGTATTTTATCATTCATCAATTAGTTTTTTCAAAAAATAAATATTTTAAGTAAAAAACGTTTGGTTCCATAGTTCTTATTCACCTGGTATTTTTTAAGTATAAAATTATAGACGCGTGTAAAAAATAAACTCATTTTACATTTTCATGTAGAGTTTTAAAACAAAAACTGGGGGGCCCCAAATCACTTCTTTATTTCTTTTTTCAAAAATCAATTGATAATAATTTTTGTAAAAAATACTATAAGTAATTTTTATTTATACAGGGTGATTTTAAAATATACGACACTATTTAAACCTATAAATCTTGAGGGTTACATTTGTGAAAATAATAAGGGAGAAAAGTGTTATGAACCTTTAACCTTAAGTGAATAAAAACTTCGAACAGGTAGGAAAAATGGGGATGAAAAAACGTAAATTTTAATTTTTTAAATATTCCAGTTTAAGTATTGTTGAGAATTTCAAAATCACCCTGTATGGAGAAAATTTAAATTAAAAAAATTCTTGCTTTAAATATTTTAAGCAAAAAACGTTTGGTTCCATAGTTCTTATTCACCTGGTATTTTTTAAGTATAAAATTATGGACGCGTATAAAAAATAAACTCATTTTACATTTTCATGTAGAGTTTTATAACAAAAACTGGGGACCCCAAATTACTACTTTATTTCTCTTCTCAAAAATCAATTGATAATTTCTGTAAAAACATGCTATAAGTAATTTTTATTTATACAGGGTGATTTTAAAATATACGACACTATTTAAACCTATAAATTTTGAAGGTTACGTTTGTGAAAATAGTCAATAATAAGGAAGAAAATCGTTATGAACCTTTAACCTTAAGTAAATTTGCCAGTGATTCAGGTAGGAAAAATGGGGTAAAAAAACGTAAATTTTAATTTCTTAAATATTCCAGTTTAAGTATTGTTGAGAATTTCAAAAGAAATTTAAAATAATTCTTGCTTTAATATTTAGAATTTTTCGAAATTTTTTGCATGTGCATCTTGCCCTTGAAAATCGATAACTTAATTAATTTTAAAGATCTTGATATCGTGTTTGGGCAACTAAAAGAGAAATGTTAAATCATTCTTTTGATGCTTTTGTGATTGAAAAACAAACCCCTAAGAATTAAGGTTGCGTTTGGGGAAAAAAATTCTAAACCAATAGATTCAGTACCAAAAAATTATCTTTGCTACAAATTTTAGTAAATTTGAAGAGTATGAAACACATTGACGCAAAATGTCAACAACTGTCAGAAGTGTCAAATTGAATGATTGACATCCAACGTTTTTTTTTAAACGTAAAATTAAAGCTTTTTTAGGCCTTTTTGCTACTGCGCGAGAGAGTAAGTTAGAAGTAAGTTAGAAAAAATAAAACACAAATTTTACAACAATTACAATCAAATAAACAAACATCATGCGTCTTTATTCCACAAAACACGCTAAAATTGAAATTCGTTTCTGGTTGGTAGGGGAAGGTGGGTCTTATTCGTTCCGTTTTCTGCCCCGTGAGATAATCCTCCCCTCTCTCAATTCAGTCAAAATATCCCCAACATCCACATCCGAATAAGCCGGTTCGACGAGACTAATTTGTTGGTATAATCTAATCTGGTCTTGGTCAAACATCGATAGTAGCTTTTGTTCTATTTCTGGATACCTCACACAGCAATAACGCAAATCCTTCTCTTCCAAACTATAAATTTCGGACGTCTCCGCTGCTACCACCTTATAAATCACTCTAACATGCGTTTGGTTCTCAAAAAAAGTTAATTCCCCGACTTGGTGCCCATCTTCAATGTGCCCAAACTCTTGCCCTCCTAACATCTGCACCAGACACGTTCCATATAGAACAAAAAACAACTTCCCCTTGTCTTTATCCGTCGACATGACTGTGTCTTTCGACAAGTAAATTTCCTGCTTCAAAAGGGCCAAAATGCACCCAACAGCTGACCGCGACAACCCTCTGAAAATCTGCACGTTTTCGATCAGATTTTTGCAACTGTAAAGAAGAACTTCCATCCGAAGGTGCTCGGATAGCGTGTTCAAAATCTTGTCTTCATGGAAGAATGTCTTTGCGTACTTGTAATCTAAATACTTGTTAACTCTTCGTTTCAACTTGTGCGAAAACCGACTCTTGATCATGTATTCCTGCGTTTGGTAGTCGAATTCTTCGAATTTGGCCTCGGATATGTTGACAGTACCAAAAGTTTGTAATATATTTGCCAGAATCATAATATTGAAAATCAGGCCTGAGATGAGGATCAGGGAGAAGATGATGTGTTCAAAAGCGTCATTTATGGTATAATCGCCCTTACCAGCACCATAGAAATGACACAAGACCATTTGCATGTGTGTAATGTACTCGTTGACATAACTCTTAGTTTTGATATTCCAATCCAAGAAATTGAGGAATTTTAGGTTGTCTTTGTATGTTTGGACCCAAGAAGTGGCCGGGAGGTGGTACAATCGGCGTGTGATCGGGATTAAGGCCACCAAACAGGTCCACCAATGTAACAAAAAAATTGCAATGATCCCAATGTAGACAAAAGTGCAAACAGTGTCTTTCAAATTGAACATTTTCAAGAAGATTCTTAAATTGTAGATGAGAGAGGGTAGTCGAAGAAGACGAATCATCTTGATTTGTATTATTAAAACCTGGGTTTTTATTGGTAATTTATTCAGAATCGTTTCAAGAATTAATGACGTTATCAAAGGGATTGAATCGATGAAAAAATAAGTCTTGATGTAATTTTTGAAGATTTTGCGAAACTCCAAGACCACTTCTTCTGTCTTGTAGAACATATATCCCGTGAAGAATCTTACGAGGGAATCCGCGGCCACTAGCAAGTTTACAATCCACCAAAAGCAATAAAACACAAATGAGGTGTCCTTCTCCTCGGTCACGTACTTCTCAACGTAGAAAGTCCCCAAAAATGGGTCAAACAGAAATAAGATGAACCACACCACTAGCATAATCAGTTTTTGACACTTGACAAAGCGACTGAATGGGTGGATTATGAAACTGTATTTTTTTTCTTTCAAATGGCGTAATTTTTCTTTGAGGAGTGATCGATTACTTCGAAATCTGGTACTACTTTCGACGTTTTTGTATACTGTGCAAAACTCGCGGAACTTGAACCAACATTTTTGGTACCATGCAGCGTGAGGCGAAATGTCCACAATGTACTTCCAATCTTCCTGTCTCAAGTTGCACTTGTGGGTCAATCGGAACCTTTTTTCTGACATTGTGACACTTGACACTTTTTTCTAAACGAAAATTCGCAAGTCAAAAACATTACTGCAGTTACTGATTAACTAGATTTTGGCGGGAAAACTGCCACCGTTTGCGATTTAAACTATGATTTCTATAAAAATCGATGATTTTTCGATTGCTATTAAAAGAATAGAGTAAGAAACTGAGGTGTATAACAGTTTTTGCATCAACAATTCCTAAAAATCATATTTTTTCATGTTAGCTATGAAATTTGACAGTTGACAATTTTGAACTACCTTAGAGAATTCTTTGAGCCTTCGGTTATCAAAAGAAAAAAATATTTATTCACGATTATAAAACAATAATCAAATTACGTTTTAAAGTTGGAAAATATGACATTTTAACTTCCCAACCTGAACTGTCATATGTCATGTTTTTCAAAATTTGATAAATTCTTAATTGACAATACTTATCAAAGGGTTCTAGAACTGTGAGACTTTGAATGGATTTTCGCAAATAAAAATTTTTATAAAAAAATTGACATATGACAGATAAGTACCAACAATTTGGATACGTACAGTCGCGTGTAAAAGATTTTGGTCGTCAATGTCATTTTTTGCTAAACTTATTTTTGTATAATTTGAAATTTGGGCCATAATTTCAGCGATAATAAAAAGTCAATTGGCATTTAAAATATTTTTGATTTTTTGAGACAAAAAAATCAATCACAAAAGGGAAAATTGCAAAATTTTTTACATAAAAAAATATTTTTTTTGACGATCAAATTTTTTTGTACGCGACTGTACGTTTAACTCAGTTTAAAAAGTGGGTTTTCATTTAAACTTTTCAATTTGGCGACAATTTTTGTTTTCATTTTGAAAATAATTTAGTTGAATTAAGAATGGTCGATTTTGGTTGCGTACAGTTCCGGTCACGGAATTTTGGACAATTTGTCATTCGATTGACATAAAAATGTAAAACTGGCTTTATTTTTTTTCTTGTAACTTTGTAATTTTTTTTCTGACAGCTATAGAAAAAATGACAACAAATCATAATAGTTTAAAAGTATAAAAAAAAACGTACTATGTTCTGTCATTATTGTATCAGAAAATCGACGCTATAAACAAATTTTAACTAATATTTGAAAATCTAGTTTCAAACGTGAATCATAATGACAATAAAGCGTGGCTTATATTCACATTTTTTGAAATGATAATTTTGATGTTCAAAATTCCAAATTCTTGTACAAAATTAAACCGTAGCTACATTGGATGTTGAAAAGTTCAAAATTGGATGGAATTATTTGGTATTACATTAAAATTAACTTTGGATTGTTTGGAATTACTGAAATTATTATTAATAAAATTTTTCTGCAATTACAGATTTTTTTTGAAATTATCGAAAATAATTTCTTTTAAAACTACGTTGAATTTGTCAGAATTATAAGAATTAATTTAGAATTACAAAAATTATTATGGAATTATGAAAATTAAGTTAAAATTACAGAAATTAATTAGAAATTAATCTGAAAACCACGGATTATTGGAATTAGGGAATTACTTATTAAAATTTTGGTAGAATTTTTGTGGAATTGTAAAAAAATAGTTGTTCTCTTTTTTATAAGTTAACAACCCTTTAAAAACGTCTCTAATAACGTAGGTCTCACAAAAATCATCCTGTATAGGTATTATTATTCCAATTTTTGAGTCAGGTCAGGTCAGTTATTTTTAATTTTTTTTTAACCTGAAACTTTGCAAATAACCAAACTTTTTTGTTTTTTACTCTGCGTTTTTCCTTTCTCACTTTGTACCCAAATAGAGGATTATTATTCCAATTTTTGAGTCAGGTCAGTTATTTTTTTATTTTTTTTTAACCTCAAACTGCAAATAACCAAACCTTTTTGTTTTTTACTCTGCGTTTTTCCTTTCTCTCTTTTTACCCAAAATTTATAGAGGATTATTATTCCAATTTTTGAGTCAGGTCAGGTCAGTTATTTTTAATTTTTTTTTTTAACCTGAAACTTTGCAAATAACCAAACTTTTTTGTTTTTTACTCTGCGTTTTTCCTTTCTTACTTTTTACCCAAACTTTATAGAGG